GCAAGATTCATTCATTCAGAAAAACAATTGCAAGATTCATTCATTCAGATTCAATTCATTAACAAAATGTTAGATATGTGACTTTTGATTTTAATAGAGATGCACAGGGGTGTTGGGTCTGGGATTGGGAATTTAACATTGTTTAAGATTTATACTTCTATATATACTTTCCTCATATGTATCGTTTCGATTTTTTAAATCATAAATTACTTTCACATTTTGTATGTGATAATTTTATCTATCTTGAATATAGAACATGGGTGGTCACAGAGTTAGGAGTAAGGAACCAATATCATGGTCGGATGAGAATGAACTTACTTTTATCCAAATTCTGTACGAGAGAGTGAAATCAAACGCATTGCAATGTTCTACGTTCACAAGAGACGAATGGGGCAGAATCAATGAAACAATGGTTGCTTCAACGAAAGTGGATTATGGGATAGATAGATTGAAGGGAAAGTGGATCCGCTTACGTAAGATTCACCGTATGTTCTCAGAATTGTTGGCACATACAGGGGTCACATGGGATCCAAATACCAACAAATTTAATACTGCAGAGGAAGTTCGGCAGCACTTTTATACGGTATATTTCTTTATTAAATAATATTGTCGTCTTTATTTTTTTAGATATTCAATTCTACCTCTTTTCTACTGGACCTTCTTTTGTAATGTAGATTAACAAGTCGAATTACAAGCTGTTCAAAAAGGAAGGTTGTAAACACTATCACACTCTCGAGGAGATATTTAGCGGAACTATTGCCACTGGAGGATTAGGCAATCCCTCCACTTAGCTTCCAAACACATCAGAGGAAGAAAGACAGGTAGAAGATGACTTCTTGAACAGGGGAGTGCATGTATGTGTGGAAAATGATGATGGAGTGGATGTGGTTTCAAGTACTCGTCGGCGTGAGGAAATTGGTACGTTAGGTGGCAAACGTAAAGAGCCTAAGATTAGTAAAACTGATAAACTTGAGGCCTGCATGGCACAGTGGTCATCTACAGTTAGTATGAGGAATGAAGAAACTAAAATTAGAACCCTTTACTTCAAAGAAAAGCTTGCAAGGATACAAGGAAAATCATGTAATCAATCGGATAGCGAAGTTAGTAGTCAGGAGAATTATTCTAGTGTTTTGTGCCTGGACATCTTAAACAATATGGAGGGGTTATCAAATGAGGTTTATATAAAAGCAATAAAGGCTTTTGAAAGTCACACTTTTAGGGTGTCGTTTGTGAAGATGCCAGAAGTGAGGAGATGACCTATCTTGGAACTACTTTGATATGATTATTGTTTTAAGTTCGCTAGTATCTTGTTGTTTTCATTTGTGATATGCAAGGTTGAACTACTATTTTATTTTCGGGACTCATAGTATGTACGTTTGTAAACTTTCATGGTGATATGTTGTTTTCATGTACGAACTTTGTGATGTTGTTGGTTATGGAACTGCTGTTACTTTCATGCTATTAGTTTTAATGTGAATGAATGAATGCTGGTTGTTATGACTTATGATAATTAATGTGGGTATATTTTGTTTACAGTATGGATGATAATGTGAATGTTGACGATTTCATTGCTGAAGATTCTAGTGATGAAGACTTGTTAATGACGGATGAGTTTGACGTAAATTCCATTGACAATTTAATGATGCTTAATATGATTGATATTCACAGAAGAAGTACCGTCGGCATGATACCTTGTAGGATATCATTGCTTACGGGAAAAATGTATATGCTAGAAATTCTAAATGAACATCCTGACGTATGCTATCGCAATTTTCGTATGCAGAAACACGTGTTCATGAATTTTTGTGATATTTTGAAACGAAAAGGGTTGTTAGAAGATGGGAAAAAAGTGAGTGTCGAGGAGGGTGTTGCTATGTTTCTGATGATTATAGGGCACACTACTCGATATAGTATTATTGGCGATATGTTTCAACATTCGAACAACACGATACACAAATAGGTTAAACGAGTGATAAGGGCTGTTTGTTCATTTGGCACAGAGATAATTCAACCCACAAATCAAGATGTTGAGCATGAGCGAATTTTGCACAAATATCCTTTTTTCAAGGATTGTATAGGCGTAATAGATGGAACACATGTCGCAGCTTGGGCACCTACATCGAGACAAACATCTTTTCGTAGAACGAAAATAAATGTAACACAAAATGTGATGTTAACATGTGATTTCGATATGAAATTCACTTTTGTGTATTCTGGTTGGGAAGGCACTGCTAATGATTCGCGAGTATTCGTTGACGCAGTCACACGAAGATCGAACAACTTTTCAATGCCACGGGGATGTATATTCTTGTACTTCAAATATTTATTGTGAATGTATCTACAATATTATGCTATGTGAGTCATTTTTTTTTTTGCAGATCACTTTTACCTTGTTGATTCTGGCTACCCAAATATGCCTGGATTTCTTGCCCCCTATCAAGGTCAAAGATGTCATTTGCGTGACTATGTTGGACGAGGAAGACTACGTGGGAAGGAAGAATTGTTCAACTATCGATACTCCTCGTGCCGTAATATTATTGAACGTTGCATTGGAGTTTTAAAGACAAGATTTCCTATTTTGAAATTGATAACCAATTATCCCTTTAGTAGACAAAGACAAATCCCTACTGCATGTTGCGTAATACATAACTTTATTCGTTAGGAGCACGCTTTAGATAGGTTGTTCACTGAGTATTCAGAGGAGAATATGGTATTCGAAGATATACCGAGTCAAGTCAAGCACAAGAAGCCATACATTTTGATTTCCAGTCAAACAGCTCAAATGGGACAAGTTAGGGATCAAATTGCTACACAAATGTGGAATGACTACTCAAGACGTCGTACGTGACTCCGTGGATTCATTTTTTATGTAGTTCAGTATCTGCTTATTTTGTCATGATACACGTAAAATTCTCATCGTATCTTCATCAGATGTAATGTAGGTTGTGTTTTTAATATCTTGAAAAAGAAATTTACGTTTCACCAATTTTAAATTCTATATGTTATTTAATACTATATTAACATTACACAATTAAAATTTATTGAATACTCATTTTTTTGAATAAAATATTCTTAAAAAATTCTCAAAATTTCAAAGTAAACGCGTTTTCCATTTTTATGTTTTCGGAAATAGTTTTTCAGAATGACAAAGAGAACGCATTTTCAGAAATCTCAAAACAGACACTCAAAACACAAAACAAATTCAAAACTTAAAACACAAAATTGAAACACAAAGAGAACGACACCTTACTTTCTCTAGAATTCATTTTCTTTCAACTCATTTTCCACCATTGCAATCAAACGGACTCTAATAGTGTAGGATTATTTTTCTTAATAGTTGATTGTATAATTATTATGTAGTCTTTTCTTTTAGAGTTATTTATTCCCCTATAAATATGATCTTTTACTTTGTAATGAAAACAAGTTTATTATATACAATTTATAATATTTTTCACATACATAAACCGGGTCCTTGTTTAGTCGGAATTAAAATCAATTTTTTAGTAGATTTTGATAAAAGTTGATGAGATGCGTGGTTGAAAGTTGTGGATCACATAACATGGGTGATTAAAATTAATTGTTGATTTTAATTAGATTAAAATTGAATTTTAATCTTTCACCGAATAGGGGATAGAGAACATTGTGAACCGCTTAATTTGATAGAAATTTTCTTTGATTAGCAACCTTCCAATTTGAAAGATAGCACAACGTCTCTTCTAAATTTTTAACCATGAAGAACGTCTTGTTCTTGTGTTCTCCCTATACTTGCGGTCCAACATCTCTTAATCTTCAGCAACTTCTGAAAGATATTGAGAAAGTACATTCGTGATGATATCTGGAAGTGGGTGTTTTAGATTATTTGACTTTGATGTTTTTCCAAACTTTGGGTTGATTGGTCTTAATATTCAAAAGTTTAATCTCAATATTTGGATGTATTCTTGGATATTGGAATGATGTTATTAAGATGTAATATAATGATTAACCACACATAAAAACGTACTGAATATTGGATATTTATAATAAGATGTATTTAGATAGAATATGATAGATATAATTTTTGAAAATCGCAAACTAAGGTTTCACGTATAACACCATAGCTCGAGCGCCAAACTAGCGACAAGAGAGCGAGAGGTGTGCCGCTCGAACGATAGGTGGTGACAACGATTCTGTTTCTTCCACTCGAGCATCAGGTAGGTTACATGTTAACGTAAATCCGATGACTCTTTTTCCTTATTCCATGCTTGAACCCAAAGACTCCTAGTTTATCTATACAACGCTCCAAAAGACTAATTAACTTTTACAACTCTTTTATATCAATCCTATTTTTTTATAATGATAATTTTTTTCTAAAAAATTGTCAACACAACATAAGTCCTAACAAAATACATAAGTAGCTCGTGCATGTATTTGGGTTCTTAATTTTCTTTCAATCTTACCTGCTCTAACATACATGTCTGTAGTGGTACAACTTGACAGGGTGCTCAGTCCCATCTGCCCTCTCTACTCTTCTCTTTGATAAATTTTTTCAATAACATGGAATATTGTTCCAAATAAACTTGTTGCAATTCATTCAGACAAAATTTGTATGTAGAACTTATGTTTAAAATGTAATATATCAGGTGTTTTTACTTTGTTTGTTGGCTGGTTGCAATATCTGCTGGTTCAATACTGTTTGTTTTATTCTCTGCATAAAGAATTTCCCAAGTAATCAACCACTTGCTCTCTCACAGTCAGTTTCAATGGCTTGAGTGCTGCCTTTTACAACCTTGTTGAAAAATCACTTAACCCTTCACCAACCACATTGTATCTTTTTCTCAACACTTTGATTCCACTCTTGACATCTGTTGCAGCCCTTTTACCGATCCTTTTGCAACCCCCGGGGGATGTTCTTTTGTCTGATGCTGTTAAACACGTTCAATTAATAATCACCGCGTTAAATTTATATTCTCTTCCTCCATTCGTTAAATGCAGCAACAGCTCGTTTCCTCTTTGTTGGTGCCATGTCTCTACTTGTCCTCCCTTTTGGTATCCCGGGTGTTATCTATTCTCAAGATTGGTTCCATCGCACAATTTACTCAAGCTTCCAACTTCCAAGCTCGGGTTTTATCCTTGTTGATGCCAATGAACTTGAATTACATAAAGAGCTCCTTAGTCAAGAGAATAGTGTAGACGATAGTGCAGTTCGTATAATATCTAGAAAAGACACGGGAACTAGTGAAGGGTGTTCGTTTGGACTGTAATGAAGAAGGATTATCTCATGGTGCTCTGGGAAGATCATAAGACGCCAATGCTCATTCGTAGGTGGGGTTTTTGGCTATACTATGTTGCTTATTTTGTCGAGGCACAATTGGGCTAGTGTACAGTAATAATCTCGGGCACATGCCAGATAGGTCAATCACCTGGATATTATTCAACGACTTCAAGTCTTATTACAGCATATTCGTCGTTCTCCTTCTTTGGCTTCTTGCTTTCAGCTGCATCAGACTTCATTCGAACGTAAGTGAACAGATTGAAATTGTGTTTCATATCGTCCTTAGACTTGCAGGTCGAGCTGCTAGTTCTTAGATATAAGATATACATCCTAGTCACTATGGGCATATTTGCCCAAACCTTTAAGCTTGTTATCTAGGAGCTTGATCAGAAATACTGCTAAGAAATACCGTAATGAAAAGATAACAAGAGTTTTTCGCTAGGTATTTGACCAAATAGGATCTTCCTGTCAAAAATTATTTACAAATTAAAGAATATGAGAATATCCTCGAACCAGGAAACTGAATTGTTTATAAGTCCCAAATCCCATCCTTTTGAAAATAGATAAACTGAATTGCTCTCGGAAGTATGGGTTAAGGCTTATCCTATAAAATTGATGAGGGTATACTTTATCTATATGTGCAGGAAGCTATACTTTGCGCGAACCGGGTGGCTAGCAATAGCCCTTCTGCCAATGCTAATGGCCTATTTCTTGCTTGCTGCGAAAAGTGGCGAGGCAGTTCATGTTGGCACCGCCCAAATAGGACTAACCTCGGGATTTATATTTGCTGCTGCAGTTTCAGTAACATCTGAGCTTTTCGGCCTCAATAGTGTGGGTAGGGGTGGGCGTGGGTCGGTTCGATTTTTTTCGGTTCCAGAAATTTTCGGGTATTTAGTAAATGGAACAGTCGGTTCCAAATATAATTTTGGAACCGTTCGGGTTTGGTTCGATTCTGTTCGGTTCCGTACTATAATTAA